ATTTGAGGAAGTCAGAAAACAGAAACATAGAATTTATTTTCAGGCCTATGGGATCAAAGCATGAACATCCAAACACAATTCTTGGCATCCACAGGAAAATTATAGTAAGCAAGGATGTTCCATTAATTGAAGCACTTTAATCTGTTAACTCTTTTTCAAAGATCTTACTTGTTATCTGGATGGGAGTGAATTATATTTACTTAGATCTTCAAGACATCAAGAAAAATGAATTATATAGGTAGGAATTAGTGAAAGACCAACTAATTGGATTGTACATGTAGGGTAATTGGATGGAAGAAAGGAAAAGGTTGTTATTAATGGAGTACAGTCACACCAGACACTTGGGTTTCCCAGGCCCTGAGACACTCCGGTACTGATGACATTAGATAGACTTTTGGGTATTTCTAGCTGTAATCACAATGTTGAGGTATTACAGAATGGCTTGAATCAATGGGTAACTTGGAAAAATATGTAGTAAATGTTTTTTAATTTTACTATGTGCAAGATAATGTATCTGGTGATCACAACTTGGATCTCATGTTTAATATTGATGGCAACCCACTGAATAGCAAGAACATGTATCTTGGCATAGTGGTGAACAAGTCACTCATACCACTGAAGCAATTGACCTGTTGCTAGTTCATGTAGTAAAACTAATAGAATTTTATGGTATATTTATAGACATGTTGATTATAAGTCAAGAGAGATAATTATTTCTTTATACACATCACTAGTTAGGCCTCACTTGGAATACTGTAGACAGTTTTGGTTTCATCTAATAAATGATACTGATATATTCAAAATAATTCAGAGGTTTTCTGCAATGATTCCAGGGATCAAAGTACTGTATTATGGGAATAGGATAAGATAACTTATTTTCTCTAGACAAACAAAGATTAAGAGTATACTTTCATGCAGTTTTCCAATTACTCAGAGGATTAATAAAATAAAGACCTCTGCTTTATGAAGATAATAGGATGAGAGCACACAAGTTTAAGGTTCTGCTTAAGACAGCTTTATTTTTTCTAACAGGGTGATGAAATTAATTGGCATCAGCAATAGAGAAATTTTAAAAGTGGAATCAATAAATCAAAAATATAGAGTAGGTTTAAGTAGTTTTTTTCAGGAGTGATTGTGCACAGACAGTTTGAAGGGCCTTCCTTTCTATCCATATATTATGTTAATAACATGGGAACTTAGAATGGTGTATCTATAACATATGTGGGACAACATGGGGCCCCTTGGCCCATCGTGGCTTTTCCATTCATTTGATCAAACTTCCATCTGTCTGTATAGAGCCCAGGCTCCCCAAATACAAATCAAGTCTACTTTTAAGCTGTACCAATTCTGTTGCATCTACTATGTTTGAAGGACATCCATTACAAGCTTAAAAAAGGCTGACCACCATGTTTGGAGAATAAAATTGTCTAATTTGCAGATCATTTATACCCTGCCAAATCTTAAAATCTATGTCCCCTAGTCCTACCAAATTACTTTCAAACGTGAAAAAAAAAGACGATGCATGAATTCCATCTATTCCCCAGTGGCACTGACATGAGTGAGCTTGGTCAGGCCAAGGCTTATCCAATCAGAGCTTGGTCAGGCCAAGGCTTATCCAATCAGAGCCTGGATTATGGATTCTGTATCCAAGTGCTTCATACCTAGCATTTTTTGTAGCTCCCTGTAACTTGTTTCCAAGGATATGTACACCTCCTGTACATCCATTGTAACTCCATGCCTACCCAAAATTTTGTAACTAGGTATACCACCTTTATCCTCTTTATAATTTTGAACATTCAGATTCCTCTAACTTTTTTCTATTAAAAGGCCCCTTGTTCTCAAGAGAAAATAACTTTAAGAACCTTAACCTGTTCCATATGTCAGACTCTCCATCCTTAGAATCATCGTAGTAGCCTTATTTTGAGCCCTTTACAACAACTCAATGTTATTCTTAAAGTAAAAAACCTCGGACTAAACACATTACTCCAAATGAGACCTAACCAGAGATTTGTTCAAAAAATGAGAGCCTCCTTTGACTTGTATTTAATATTCATTTATACACATCCCAAAATCCTCTCTGCTTTCATTGGCAATAACAGACTTCTGAAAGGCTTAAGAGACTGATTAACCAACACAACAAAATCCTCTTTGCTTTCACTGGCAATAACAGACTTCTGAAAGGCTTAAGAGACTGATTAACCAAAACACCAAAAATACTTTTCTTCCATAACATTATTGAGTCAAGTTTCATCAATGTGGTAATTATATTTATAGCGTAAATTATGGTTGTCTACAATTATTACATTGCACTTCTGAGCTGCTTAATAAAAAATTAGGATGTTTAAAAAACAATTAGGCTCCTGGGCCAGATAATATTTACCCAAGGGTTTTGAAGGAGGTTAAAGATTCGATATA